TCTGTGAGGGAGAGGCAGACAGGGAGGGGTCCTTTGGGTGCATGGGTGCACCAGCTCCCTGCACTGTCTGTCTGGGGAGAGCCTCTCTCTGCCTGCTAACAGTGCTTTTCTTCTTCCTAGGCATGCCACGACCACACCTTGCAGTGTGCCCTCCTGCCCCTCCGGGATATCCTGGTCCCGGCACAGCTCCCTACCCTGGTGGCATTGCTGTTTGCCCTGCTGCCCCTCCGGGATACCCCGGTCCCGGCACAGCTCCCTGCCCTGGTGGCCCTGCAGTCTGCCCCCCGTGCCCGCCTCCAGGTGGCCACGGGCATCACCCCCACGGGCATCACCCCCATGGGCACCCCCCATCGGGGCATCATCCCCATGGGCATCACCCCCATCCAGGACCACCGGGAATGCCAGCGTGCCCCCCTGACTGCCACCAGAAGCACCACAAGAAGCACCATAAGAAGCACCACAAGGAGAAGCACTCCAAGCACCACGGAGGCAAGGTAAGGTGTGAGGCGGCAGCTGACACTTCCTTATTCCTGCTGTGTTCCTTGAGATCCTCTTCCCCCGTGTCACAGCATCCGTCCTGTGCAGCTGGGGCTCTTCTCTCCCACCCTGTGAGGGGGGGGTTGCCAAAACCTCAGTGGCTTTTTTTTAGAGATGGAATTTCCCGTTAGGTTAATGGGAGTCAAGGATGAGTCATATTAAGTGAGTAATTTGAAAAGCAGTCCATGAAATTCCTTGAAGTCTTTTAAAGCAGTGATGTGGCTCAGGGGGCACCGTGCAGCTCATCTGAGAGTGAGTCGTGCCTCTGTAATGGACATCCACTCAGTGTCTTTCCAGAGGAACTGTTCAGTTCCTTCTTGAAAAAAAAAAAGCAACACCCCAAACCCGTGCCCATAAAAAAAAAAAAAAATCAAAAGAGAAGGAGCAATTCCCTGTGCTGGGAGTAGATTTTGCAGAAGATACTATTACAGGGATGGGCACCGTCCAGAGCAGGTCTGAGTGAGGGACTGCTAAACACACTCCAAGTTCCAACTTTGGAAGTGGGAGCATCTCCCAGACAAATCAAACTCTCTCACTGGTTAACAGCTCTGCAAGTGATCTGCTCTGATGTTTGTCCTTGCTGGCAGAGAGCAGGACCCTTCTGGAATTTGCATGATTGACCTAAAGAGCCTCAAAAAAGTTAAGAAAAGCCCCCCAAGCCTCTCCCAGTATGGGGCACCCCCCACAGGGTCACTAACACCTCTCAGGAATGCTGTGAAAGAGGGTCTTTTTACTTGTGCCCAAGAGTTGTTTTCTCTCCTGCAGCACTGCAGTGGCTCAAGCAGCAGCTCAAGCAGCAGCTCTGACTCTGACTGAACATATGGCACCTCCCACCTGCACGGAACTGATCAGAAAAACACGAAGCCAAACACCTCGATGGAGTGCCCTGCCCTGCATGTTTCTCCATTCCACTTCCCTTTCCCTTAGAGCAGCGTTTTGCCTGCTGAGTGATTTACTTTGTAAATGCTTTGTCCTGGAATCCCTTAAGTCAACGGAGAGCATCTCCATGGTCTGCCTTTTGGGAGGGCCTGCTGAAAATCATCATGTGCTGGTTTACAATCTGCTGGTGTCCGTGTGTTTTTTCCTGGGCAGTGGTGCCAGCTGCTAACGTGGATCCCACTGCCCATAAAAGTCCTTACAATTCCAGCTTTCCCAGCTATAGTAGAGGGGCTGGCTGGGGATGCTTTAACTATGTGGGCTGCTATCTTTCATGGCAGGGTAATAATTGTTAGGGAAAAGGCTCACCACGACAAGGAAACCTTGCCCATTTACTGTCCTTGTTGCAGTGCATCTGTACGTGCTGGGGCAGTGGGATTTCAGTCCTTCAGCCCCTCTCTGGTTGCATTCATGTCTTGTCCTATGACCCTTGAGGCTTCCCTACAGCACTCTCCTTTCCAAAGGAGGGAGAACATGGCAGGGACACCGCAGTGCTGAGACATCACAGTCTGGATGTGCACTGCCAGGGTGTGGGGCCAGGGTGCACCTGGAAGTGTTCAAGGGACCAGTGCTTGGAGCAACCTGGTCTAGTGGGAAGTGTCCCTGCCCGTGGCAGGAGGATTGGAATGAGGTGGCCTTTCAGTTCCCTTCCTACCCAAACCATTCTGTGATTATCTGGATTTATCAGCTTAGAACCAGGAGAACCAGCTGCTCATTAATTAAAAAAAATATAAAATGAGACAAACTACAGAATACAGAGGCTTTTTCAGGGTAGGGTGAAAAGGGTTTGTTTATTTTTGCAGACAGCACAGTTCAAATTCAAATCTGGGCATCGCTCAACAGATCCTGGTGGGAAGAAGGCACCACTGATACTTTGAGCACACTGGGGTGACAGGGAGGCAGCTCTGGTGGCTGCCTGGTATTTTGTGAGATGCTAGGAGGCCCCTCTCGGCCAGGTTTAATAAATGAGTAGGTTCTGATGAAGGGCAGAATGGCAGAAGAAATCATGGGAGACATGGCCCACAGGAAAATAAAGATCTTAAGAGATGATTTATGAAATTTAGGGTAGATAGACCCCCAAAAGAAGCATCTGCAGACAACTGTGGAAGGTAGCAAAACCTCTCACAACATCCTACAGCTCCCAGGAAGGAGGAGCAAGACACACTGAGGGGTATTGAGAGTTTTTGAAAACTATAGAGTTATTCATTCATCTTGCTACACTGGAAAGGTTTCCTGCTTCTCTGATAAGCCCTCCAAGGACTACAGTACGTACACAAGTCATGGCTTGGTGTGTGTAAAGCTTTACAGAAGTACATCATATGGCTCTGTATCCTCCTTTGATCTGGGTTTTAATTAGCACCATAAATGTAACATACACGACTCTTCGTCACGAAAATCAATTAAGAGCTCTGGATTTTGGCTAGAAAGAAGGACCCTGAGGGCAGCTGTTCTGGGCTAGCAAACATACAGGGGGGAGAAAAATACAAGAGGTAATATCAGGGGTGCGTATATCAGTAAGAGGAGGACATGTGTGTGTGTGTGCCTGCCCTTCACTCAACAAATCCACCTGATGAACCTGTCGAAGAAGGTGGGCTGGGAGAGGCTGTCATAGTCCTTCTCCCGGAAGACGGCTGCCCGGTCCCCCAGGCCGAGCTTCAGCAGGACATCCATGTCTACGTCGCTCCCCAGGGCCACCACCGTGGGCATCACGTCCTGCTTCTTCATGGAGTTGATGGCCTCCTCCAGGTTCTTGCTCCCCGTGATGCCGTCGGTGATGAAGACGAAGGAGAGCTCGGCGTTGCGCCGGGCGAGCCGCTGCCCGTTCCCCGGGCTCAGCACGATGTTGTTGATGGCGTGGATGATGGCCGAGCCGATGTTGGAGGACGAGTCCAGGTACTTGATCTGCGCCAGGGCGTCGGAGATCTCCGTCAGGTTGTGGGTCAGCGGGAAGACGACGTTCTGGTCCCTCTCGCTGCCGTACTGCAGCAGCGCCACCCGGGCGTTCATGCTGTCGCTGCTGCTCCTGGCCAGCGTGAGCTGCCGGGCCACCTCCTCCACGAAGCGGTGGGCGGCCTGGAAATTCTGCTCGCCGATCCTTTCCGAGCCGTCGAGCAGGAAAACGATGTCCACGGGGCGCTGGGTGCACTGGGCCACGGCAAGCTCTGCGGGAGGAAGAAGACGACGAAGACAAAGAGTTGGGAGAATAAAAACACCGAGGGATAGGCCTGGGGCTTGTCTCAGACCATCTGGGCTGGAGTTGCCTGTGTGCACCCTTGTCCAAAGGAGGACCAGCCCCCACTCTGCTGCCAAAGCCTGTCTTTGCAGCTCATAACGCAGGAGCTTTGCTTCTGATGCCCTCAGCTCCCAGACACTAGGTCTTAATGAATGTTAATTGTCCTCCATGCAATTACAGGTCTGTGCATGTCAATCCCACCATTACATCCACAGTCTCACCTCAGTTCCCAGCTCTCATCTGTGAGAGGAATATCCAGAGATTTATGGCAGGCAGCACCTGCAAACCTCTTGGTTACTTCTGGAGAGTGGTTTACTTTCAGAGTTGTTCTTGCCATAGAATCATAGAATGGTTTGTTTTGGGAGGGATCTTAGAGATCACCCAGGTCCAAGTCCCCTGCCATGGGCAGGGACACCTTCCACTAGCCCAGGTTGCTCCAAACTCTGTCCAAGCTGTCCTTGAACACTTCCAGGGATGGGGAGTCCACAGCCTCTCTGAACAACCTGTGGCAGTGCCTCACCCCCCTAAAGAATTTCTTTCTAATCTAAACCCTCCTTCCTTCAAAGGTCATCAATGCACACACACAGATTTTTAGGATGGAAGCTGCTTTCCTACTTTTCACTCAGCTTGGTTTCACCGGCAATCACTAATTCCTGAAGAGCTTATAAAGACTGGGTGGAAAACAAGACTAATTTTCTTGGTGCACCTGTTCATAGTAAAGCAGCTTTGGTGATAGGTATATCAGACTGATATCTGAGGGGAACACAAAAGGGTGAAGTCCCAAAGATGCTGCCATATTGTGCTGCGTGACTGGCAGGCAATAGGAGCTCCTGGAGCAGCCCCAACTCCAGCATCCATTTCAGGCAACGAGGGGTAACTTTGGGGATGGGTGTATCACATTAATTTGAATTTCTGCACTGTGAGCAAACCCAGCCTGACAAAGAGCTTCCTTGGTGCTCAATGATGCTACACCTGCGTTCAGCACAGAATGACAGAACTGTTCTGGTTGGAAAAGCCCTCTGAGATCATCAAGTCCGACCATTAACCCATCACCACCATGTTACTAAACCACTAAACCATATCCTAAGGATCATATGCACATGTATTTTGAACACTTCCAGGAATGATGATGATGACTCCACTGCTTCCCTGGGCAGACTATGCCAGCGTCTGACCGCCCTTTCAGGGAGGAAATTTTCCCTAATATCTAATCTAAACCTCCCTTGGCGTAACTTGAGGCCACCTCCTCTTGTCCTATCACTTGTTACGTCCCCTCCCTTTCAAGCAATAAAGGCGTGTACTCACCTCCACCCCATCTTCCTCGAGAAATGTTGTCAGCTGATGCTGAGCTCCTGGTATGCAGGCACTGCTGCCACAAGGACACTTTGCCTCGGCAGCACCTGCACTCCTGCTCCTCCCCTGTTCCTGTGCAGTTGTGGAGGGGGTGAAGGGCACAACCCACACTGCAAAACCCATGAGAGGGTCTGCGAGAGCCGGTGGAAGAGAGCGGGTAAGGAGCGAGGGCTGCGTGTCACCTTGTAGCAGTGTTAACAATCCCGACCCCTCCCAGTGCTTCTCAAGTGTAGTCGTGTTTTTTGGGATGACAAGCAAGATCGACTCACCTCCCGAGTGGCCCAGTGCAAGCCTTAAGGGCTCCGAGCTAAGCTAGGGGGGTGGTTTATAGAAAGACATAAATGCCTGTAGCTCACCATCCTGCACAGCTGAGGACGTCTACACAGGCCAGCACAAAAAAGCAGAAATACCCCCCCTTTTCCTGCCATTAGCAACCCATCTGATTGCTTTGGTGTTGCAGAGTAACCCCACCCATTCACACCACTTTCCTGCTTCTTCTAAAACCCGGGGAACTTGTGTTTCCTCTATTCTTTCACTGTGTGTTGACAGTGGAGATGAGAGTGAGATGGGGATTGACCTCCCTGACCTTTCCGGTGTTTCCCCTTTTCCCAGCCCCCACTGTGTGTCCGGGGAGCTGGGGACTGTCCTTTACCCAGATCCTTATCTGTGCCCTTCCTTTGCCCAAGAGCTTCATTGAAGGAACTGTTGCTGAGAGGAAATCCATCGGGTTTTATAAGAGGGATTAGCCAGGATTATGCTAAAAAACCACCCCTTCACCTGCCTGCCACCCGGGGGCCAGTGCAAACACTGCTCAGGCCAGAGACATTTTCTCCCTCTCCCACTGCTCCCCACCAATGAACTGAAGGTTTTTGAGAGGTAAAAAAACCTTTGTTTCCAATGTTTTGCTAGAAATTATTTCCAAGGAGGAGGGGGGGGGGGGAATAAATAGCCACTGTGTGATGAAATTAAATGAAATCAACACCCCCTTTTGCTGAAATCTTCCCCAATCTTCATTTTGTTCAGCAAAATGTCCCAGCCCTGATATGTTCTCTTCAAATCAGTGGGGTTTAGGGGCTTTTCCTCTGGCATCGTGGCTGGAGCAGCTTAACTACTCTGAGTTCAGTCCTGCATCGCAAAAGGCTAAGTCACACTAACTCTGGGGTAAAAATCAAAACAGAATAGGGAGTTTGGATTTGCACAGACTATGCAGAATATGAGAATTATGACCAGGCTCAGGCACAGTCTGATTCTTTTGCCTTCACCTAAAACACAGAGCACACCCTGTAAAGTGCTTGGAATTATTTTCCCTCTGTTCTATGCCAGTAGCAGAGATCTCTGAGCTCCTTGCCCCCAGAGACCGGGAGCAAAAAGTGCTGAAACCCTGAGAAAACACTGAAATAGGTTAGATGCAGGCAATTCCCATGCCTGAGCTTGGCAACTGGCTCCCCTTTTTACACCTGGAAATGTTACAGCCCAACCACGTTTCCGAAGAGGGCACATCTCCCTTAAATACGTCGTTCGTTTACGAGACTTTATTGCAATAATACCATGCCAGTTAGAATAAGTACTTCTACTCTTGTGTCTGCACATGAAATTCCATTTCCTCTAAACATGGCTTCAGAGGAGTTAAACTGGAGGTGGGAATGGCACTCACCTGCCTGACTCCGTGAAAACCAGGGGCTGCTGGAAATATCACTCCTTGTCTATAAGCGCACATAACCACAGTGCACGTGGTGGGTCTGTGGGCTCTTAACCAAATTGGCCTTGGGTGTGGATTAAACAGGCTGTGCCATATCAAGTTTAGGTATTTGCTTTTAAACAGCTCCGGTAATTTGAGTGTGTGATACAACACATGACGTGGAGGTGTGACTGCACAGTCAAGGATTTCTGCTTTGGACCACCCGGCCCTATGTAACAGAGAATCTGTCCTTTGGATAGAGACAGGTACATGGTGTTAATTAAGATAGAAGAAGCACAAACCTACAAGAAGAGAAAGGCCAAGGGAGCTCAAACAGCTTCTGGCAGAAGCACTCCCCAGGTGTCAGTGCTCCCGATGGAAGGAGAGGGTTGCCCCCTCTGCTGTACTGTTTGCTCCTTCCCTCCCACACCCCCAGCTGCTCACTGAGGGGTTCCACAGAGACACTGGTGAGCAGGAATTGCACCTTGCTTTGTCAGGACCCAAAGAGAGCCCCACTGTAACTGAGGGAGAGGATGCAGAAGATGCTTCAGAAGGTGTCAGCAAAGACACATGCAGGAGTGCACAGGGAAAGTGCATCGTTAGACTCTGCAAAAAAAGCAGCGGGCAAAGCCAGAGCATCCCCTGCCATTGCTGGGGAAAGCCAGCTGAGCCAGAGGGGACTGCTCCTTGTGTCCCATCCCTGGCTGAGCGCAGCAAAGCTGTCCCACTGCCTCTGTTTCTCCTAAACTAAAAGCATCTACCAGAGTACCTGTCCCTTCTGCCACACAGGCGCTTGGGGAACAACGATTACCACCTCCACTCGACCCCTGCCTCCCCGTGACCTCTAGCAGTGGTCTCAGCACAGCCCTAGCACAGTCTCTGGGTCCCCCACAATCTCGCTGTGCACCATTTTGAAGGTGTCAATGAACAAGTCCATCCACTCCTGCCGCTCACTTCCAGTGGCAAACTTGGCTTTTTCGGCGGTAAAGGCCAAAGTGGCCACCAGCTGTGTGTACATGCTGGGGTCCCGGGATTCCCGCGTGGAGTTTAGGAACTGGGCGATCGAGCTTATGGTGCTGGGGAAATCTATGTTGACTCCCTCTTCCATGGGGCGGAAAATAAGTGGGTTTACGCTCCCAGGGTTCCTGTCATCTGCAAGTGAGCGTCAAAAGAATATTTTCAGGGCTTGCTAGCAATGGCTGCGTGTCTGAAAGCTACCTGGCTTTCCTACTTGCAGTGCACTGGGGAAGAACAGAGCTAACGAGGACAGAGAAGCAGAGACCAGAGCCAGGTTTTAAATATTTGTGCCACTCATGTCTGAGGAACCACGGGATCTGCACTGAAATCTTTCACACATCAGCTGAGCGACTTCAGAAAATTACACGAAACCTTAACTGCCCAGTTCCTACTCATCCAGCACAGGCATGAGGGAGAAAGAGCAGTGCTCAGGAAAAAGGCCACGGGGTCCAACTTCTTTCTGCAGATGGGACTCACCCATCATGTATCTTTGGACTCTTACTACGTGCAAACCATGCACATGATGCTGTAAGGCAGAAAGACATCTAAGGGACAGCATCATGTGCCCTCCTTGCCTGGCACTCAGCCTCAAGGCAGTGACTCTGGCCGAAGCTGTGTAGTGTCTGGACTAGTCAGGACCCTGAGAGCCTCCATCTGCACCTGGCTGTGCTGAATTTAACTTGGAATAAACCCCCAAAGCTCAAAGCAAAGCCTTTTGCACGGGTTAGCAAGAGCCTCACAGAGCGTCATGCGGTTTCTGCGAAGCAGGTGGTCAGTTCAGATTTGTTCAGCACTTAAACCCTCCAGCATCCCGTTAGTATGGCAGTCACTGATGAGAGACAAGGGTCTCTCCCCAAACCAGGAAAATCTGGATTTCCTTAGGTAAAGCACTCGGGCAGCATGAGGGGAAAACAGTGTGTGTGTGATACCTGTCCCTCTCTGTGCTCTGCTGGTAGCGCCCAGGCTGAAGCTGGAGCACAATTGATTTGCCCCTTAAAAGTGCCAGGACTGACACTGACAGCCACGGGGCCAAGGACAAGGCTGGTGTAGCTGCTTCCCTGACCTGGGCCTGTCTGGCTGCACCACGGTGGGACGTACTCACTGGATGTGCACTTGCTCAACTCACATTCCCTCCGCAGGACACCGTCCCCACGCACGGGGTTTGCATGGGAACTGGCACTAACTTAGGAGAAGTTCCTGGAGAACCAGAGGAAGTCAAGCACTGAGCAGAGAAGCCCCAGGCTCTCTCATGTGCCTTACATCATATCCCATCCAACACGTTCCCTTGCCACCAGGCAAGAGCGATCACTGCAAATCCTTCCAAACGATGGCAGCGATGCATCACGGACCATCCGGTGTGGGGGGTGGAAGGCTCGTTGCCCAAAGGCCCCTGAATCTCCACCTATTACTTAAATTTGATCTACCAGACCTAGCCCAACTTTTGCCCACGCTGAGATGGGTCACTCTGACAGGAGGCTCATACCCACCCAGCCACACCAGTCCACCTCCTGTGTTCTCCAGGGCACAGGTCTTGCCTGCACTTGTCATGGTCTGCCCACAGCACGGCTTGAGGGATTCACCCCAGAGGGAACCCCCTGAGATGCTTCCTTCAGCCATTTCTGTTCTGGCCCCCAGGACTGTCAGATACCAGCGAACTGTCTTCACCTTGCACCAGGATCAGAAACACCCAAGCGCGCTACAAGGAAAGCACTTTCAACTTCACCTCGCTTTGGAGGGCTTTGGTGGCCCAAGCCCAGGAGGAACGAGTGTGCCACTGTCTGGGTTCCTCAGAAATGGGAAGGCTGCTAAGACCAAAATCTTTGAAGACACCTGAGCAATCACCAGTGGGGCATGGGGGTGCCACCTCCTTGCACATGGATTCGCAGGACCAAGCTCCTCAGAGGACATGGCAGAGGAACTCAGCGTCACTGTTGGACACTGTGCCCCCTGCATGGCCAGGTGCAAATACTCAAAATACCACTGAGAGATTTTAGACAGGAGTGATTATAGCTTCTCATAAAATTCTATGCATCCTTGGACCAGTTTTCCTACCCTTTGCATGGAAACAAAGGGACTTACTTCAAAGTGAAATTTGATATTATGTATAGGGCTCAATTGAAACTGGGGTTCTCCACAAAAACATTCATAGCAGGAGCAGAGACAAAAATCACAGGAGCTGGCAAAACTTAAGTCCCCTATAAACTTTGTGAATATCAGCACAGAGTGCATCTGTCGTATTTAAACAGGCACAGGGACTCAGACAGAGAGGATCTCTCTAGGAATTCGGGATGTATATCTGCCCCTCAACAAGCAAAACGTGACCAAGTCAAGCTACCTTCAGCACGCAGCAGCTATCTTCTTGATACAAGAGGGTTCTTATAGCCTTGCCCTTTATTCCAACACCCTGAGTTAACTGTTAATCAAATACAGCCAGTGTTAGAGAAGCCAAAGCTTTGGGTCCACTGTGTTGTTGTTTTCCAACCGATTTCTACCAGCTGCTCTGCCCCTGTCACTCCCAAGGAGCATCCTGCTACAAAGGTCACATGAGTGGGAGAGTTTAGCAAGGGGGGGTTTGCCTTGAGTTTGGAGGTCACAACCAGGTGGCTCCCAGGAATTTGGGCGGGGAGAGATATCAGGGGTGAGCCATGCTGGTGCACTTGCACGGTGCACTCGTACCTACCTGCGCAGAGAACTCAGAGAGACGGGAAAAGAGCAGGACACGAAACCCTTTATCCTCTCCTCACGTAAAGTGACACTATTTCTCAAACTCCTGCCATCCAAAAGGAAGTTTTGGATCCAAAAGGAAGACAGAGTTGCACCCCTTCCCGTCCTACTCCTGAGCCTCATGCACTCTCCCCCTGGACTTTGTGCAGATGGCATGAAGATACTTGTAATGTTTACCTGTCTGACAGGGCAGCTCAGGGCAGACAACCTGTGGATCTGGAAGGAAAAGAAACAGGGAAAAAAAACCTGAGTGATGTGCTACCATCCCTCTTTGCTGGCTCAGAACAAGGTTTCTTACAGGGAACTCTAAAAGGACTGTCCCAGAAGGCTGGCCTGTATATGAGGAAGGACTCAGTTCAGGGCTACATAAAGGTCAGCCCCACCATGAATGACCCAGCTACCGGCCAACCTGCTGGGACACAGTGTCTCTGCAATCATATATGCCCCCCACCCCCAAACCCTGGGGTCAAAACTGCAGTTCCAGTAAGAACCACGCAAGGACAGGTACGGACCTGGGCAGAGCACGTCTTCCATCTTGTCAATGAATTCCTCGGCCACCAGATCTGAGAAGAGCCTCATCTTCTGGACTCGCTGGGGCTCGTTGCAGGCGATAGAGACCAGGGTCTCGCTCTGCTCTGGCTGGTCAAACATGTCCCCTATGCCGATGGTGTTGACGACCACATCTCTACCGCAGAGGGCCCCTAAATTCTTGTCATCATCCCGGGGGTCGTAGCGCCCGTCTGTGATCACCACGGCGAACACCTGGGCTTGCTTTCTCCTGCTTTCCTTGATGAGCTTGTTGTAGGCAAACTGGAGGGCGGACGGCGTCCAGGTGCCCCCAGCGATCCACTCCAGGCGCTTCACTGCCTCCTTGAAGCTCGACAGCGAATCGATGCGCTCGTCGTCAAGCTTGATGGCTTCAAAAGTCCCCTCGTGGCTGTACTGCACCACCCCAACACGGGCACCTGCCAACGAGGCGTCACGTTACTTGGCTTCGCACCCTCAGTGGAAAGTGAGGAAAGTCAAAGACCTGCCCAACTGGCATGAAAAGCCACAGAAAATGGACAAACATGGAAGATGGAGAGATCCAAGACCCTTTTTTTTTTTTTCCCCCCCATGCCCCCACTCTGTCCCCCACGTAGCCCAGACCTGTCTGTGACTTGGGGTCCTTGGCAATGGAGCCCAGCCTGCTGACCACGTTGACGACAAAATTCTTCTCCAGGGTGAAGTTGGTGTAGCCGATACTCTCCGAGCTGTCTATGACAAACATGATGTCCAGGGCCCCGCAGCGCTTCTCACAGTCTGGGGAGGAGGGCACAAAGAGGAAAGCACAAAGGTCAGTGATGGTGGGAACAACAGCTGCCAGGGCAGAAGAGACCGTCTACGGGAAGATGGAGACCAAGATGTGCTCCATGCTCCATCAGTTGCTCCTTCCTTTGAGGAGGGAGGAAGAGGAGCACACCAAGCACCCACAGCCGGCAGTTCAGCGCCAGGGGTGGCTCATGGGGCAGAGGGATGAGATCCCCATCCTTGCAGTGGTCGTTCCCCTTCCCAGGGGAGAGAAGATGGCCTGCTCACCGCAGCATCCGCACGTCTCTCGCACATAGGTCATCACGTCGCAATCCTGCCGGGAAAGGGGGACAGGGTGAATGATTCTCTCTGTTCCCTTTCCTCTCCCAGCCAGCCAGCCCTCTTTCCCTCTTTCCCTCTTTCCCAGGCTTCCATGGGAAGCCATAGGCCACCTCTGCCATGCAGCAGCAGGACTTGACGCCCTGTTTTGTTCTCAGGCCGTGCAAGGCAAAGAGAGATTGCCCCGGCAGGAAGAGCACGAGGGGGCTACTCACCGTCAGACCAGGGTCTCCTGGTGGGCCAGGGGTCCCCTGCAAGGAGAGCACAGGGATTTCAGGCACAGTTTTCCCATTTGTTCCTTTTCTGGGAAATAGAGCCATCAAAAACGTGGCATTTTGCAGAGGGGAGGGGAGGGGAGGGAAGGGAAGCCCCACAGTGAGCCAGCAAATTTATCTGGCAGCTGGTGTCCCCTCCAGCAGCATCTACTTGGACACAACGCCATGGGACTGTACCTCAAGGCCTGCTTCACCAGGTGGACCACGGGATCCAGGCTCCCCTCCTGGGCCAGGATCACCCTGGGGAAGAAGCAAAGAAGGGTCAGATATTTCCTGGGCAAGGCTGGCAGTGCAGCCCCTGGTGTTCAGGGCTCCTCCTGACTCTCTCATCAGGCCTGCTAAGCACAGCCACCAGCCTGCCACAGCTGAGCCTGGGGACAAGAGCAGGACAAGGGCGGGCAGTGTCAGCCCCAGCACACCAGGCAGGGGTGTGGGAGGGGGATCCTGAGCCTGTGGACAGTATGGGCAGTCTGCTTACCGGTTCCCCCTTCTCTCCTTTGGTCCCTGGCACTCCTTTTGGTCCAAGGTCACCTCTTGCTCCCTGCTCGGTGGAAGGAAAAACAGATCCAGTATGGGGCACATCTGGATGTGCTCAGGCAGAGGCACTGCTGCATCACAAACACATGCCTGCCTGGCCTGGGAGAGCATCCTCTGAACGAGCAGCTCAGTGCAGAGCAAATAAACAGTGTTTACAGAGGCATTAACTAAGACAAAAAGAAGTTCTGCAACGAATTTTTCAGATGGTTTCAAATGGAGATGGGCTTGGGAGATGCAGCCAGGCTCAGCAGCTGCAGGAAAAGCCAGTGCAGCTGCTGGCAGGACAGGCTCTGCAGCCATTAACCCAGAGGGTTGGGAGACAACTCCTTGGCATTTCAGTCAGTACAAAAAAACCCAGGTGATAGAGACAAACACACTCACCTTGGGTCCCGGCAGCCCTTTCTCACCCTTGTCACCCTGCAGAGGGAGAGGAGGGAGAGGTCAGCACCCGACCAGCACCAGCCCTGCACTGTGCACACCCAAAGCCTGCACTGGAGGGGCAAGGAGCTGAAGAACAAGCGTAGCTTCGGGCTGGTGGTTGGGGTGGTGAGCACAGCCACCTCCTCACCCCCCGATGGAGGCCCAGGTCCCCAGCACCTCTGCCACGAGACCGATGGACCTGTGGCCAGGTTCAATCCTGGTGTCCAACTCCCTTTCTCCTTATCACAGGCACTACTCCCCGATCATTTTCCATCCTCTCTCCCTCTTCTTTCAGGCTGCTGAGCTCCACCAGCAACACCATCCACTGGAACAGACTTCCTTGTGTGCTGGGTGAGGAGTACATACCTGCGGTCCTCTGGGTCCAGGGTAGCTAAAGCCTGGTCTGCCTCTGTCACCCTTTGGTAGGAAAAAAAAAAAAAGACCCATGAGATACCAAATCCGGCCTTTCTGACCTGGTGATGACAGTTACAGCCTTTTTTGTCTTCTCTCTGGGTGAGATACCACCAGGAGCCAGGACTTCTACAGCTGTCTCTGAAGCACTGGGAATGGCTGTCTGGAGGAAGGATTGGCAGGGTCTTGGGGATGTCACATGCAGGGGGTGCCCCTGAATCTGTGCAGGGTGAGGTGTATCATCAGAGCTGCCTTGGCCCGAGCAAGACCTACATCTCTGCCCCACAGGGAGGCTCAAGTCTAATTCTGTTTCCAGGGCACACAGGTTTCTGCAGTGGAAACTGCCTTCCCCCCCCCCCCCAAATAAATAAATAAACAGGAACACCAACCAACCCATCCTTTCAAATACAGAGTTTTGTTCATGAACTTTACCTTTGGTCCTGGTGGTCCAGCGTCACCTCTCGGGCCCAGGTCACCAGGGTCCCCACGCGATCCCTGCAGGGTAGTTTTGGGGAGAGTGGGTGAGGGTGTTCCCTGATGGACCATACCTCTTCTCCTGGCCACTCAGGGGGCTGTGCTGGAGAATCCAGCTCTTGAGATGGTGCTGCAGGACCATCACCCTCCCCGGTGAGTTTACTGTGATAGTGACTGTCTCAGCACTGGGGTTCCCCTGTCCTGTAGAGCCACGTGGGTGTCACAGCACTACTGTCACAGTGGGGTGCTGGACTAACCACAGGCCCAGGACAAATGGATGCTTGTGGAGTCCCATCTTCCCTCTTCCCCACAGTGACCCGCCCTGAGGGTCCCTTCCATATTATCACAGAAACACCTGGGACCAGGAGTGATGGAGAAGCAGCGACTCCTGGGTCTTGTGACCTCTCCTTGCCCTATTCAGGGGCCTCTGGGCTAATTTTTGAGCCTTCCTGAGAAAAGGTCATGCAGCTTCTTCTCAGGAGGGTCAGTGTAGGCAGCTTATGTCAGCAGAGCAAGCTCTTGCTGCAGAGGGAGGACAAGGTCACACAGATGCCCAAGCATGACTTACTATCCTGCCTGGCTCTCCCACAGCACCTGGAGGACCTCGGGGTCCTGGCAGTCCTTGGTCTCCCTGCAGAGCAAAGAAAAACACGAGAATGTACAGAGGCAGATGTGCATGATGAAGGGAGGGAAGCCAGGAAAGCTGCCCCTTCCTCCTGGCTGTCACCATGCTTACCCTCGCTCCTTTGTTTCCAACCTCACCAGGCAGGCCACGAGGACCCTCTGGACCGGGATCTCCCTGTGAAGAGGGTAAAGACATTCCTGGTCATGGATTCTCCAATGCCATCTCTCTCCAGTGCTACATGGAGTGAGAAGGCCTGATGCCCTTCTCAAGTCTGGTGTTTCTCGGCTTGAAACAGTGTCAGGGCAGTGGGCCCTCTGAATGTGTCCCTTGACCTTAAATTTCAGTGTCCTTTATCCCCTCTCTGGACCAAAACCCAGCAGAGGTTGTGCCTGATGCCAGCAGGGCAGGTAGTGGGCACAGAGGGATCTCTGATTCCCAGCTCTGGTGATGGACACCCGCATGGCTGGGCAGCAGCACATCACACACACCAGTCCCACCCATCTCAGGCTCTTTTTTACAGTGGTCTGGGCAGTTGCTTCACTCACCCTTTCTCCTGCACCCCCGGGAGTGCCTTTGCTGCCTTTCGTCCCCGGATCTCCACGTCGACCCTTGGCAGGTACAGGAAGTCACATAAATGGAGGGAGAAGATTGATGTTACCTGTGCAGTGACAACCTCCTCCCCCTGGGCTCTGGGGGTGGCACAAACACTCCTGGTTCATTCCCTCGGGGTTAAAGACTCATCCAGTGATGACACAAGCTGGCTGGGCTCTGTGGCCCCGTGGTGCTGGTGAGCCTGTGCCAGGGGACACTGTCTCCAAACCACCCCCCAAAATTTGCAATGCCCCATCGTATTAACTTCGGTCTGTGTGGCACCAGTGATATTGTGACACCGCCCTTTTCAAAGAGCTCTACCACACTGGCCATCAGATCTTGACTCTGCGAGCTCCTGCAAGAAGCCAGAGGTTTGGGGGGACTTGCTAGAGAGCATCTTGTTAGAGAAAAAAGGCTGGGCCTTTGTGGGAACATGGGATGCTTCTCTAAGGTGAAATGGTTAATACTAAGCTAAGTATTATGGGAGTACTGCTCTGTGATGGGAGAGACAAGGGGAGATCAGCATCTGCACATCTTTTGGGATGCACAAGGCAGGGCATGCAAGCTGAACAGGGGAGTTTCTCAGTGCTCATCCATGGAACTGCATCAGGTTCCCACGGTGTGCCCACTGTCCAGGGACCTATTCAGACACTTACAGGCTCTCCTTTGGGTCCAGGGGATCCTGCTTCACCTTTACTTCCCTTGTTTCCAGCAGGCCCTTGAGCTCCAGGATTGCCTGGAAGTCCCTTGGAGAAGAAAAAGAAATATGGTTTGTTGGAAGAGAGGTTGAGGTGCACACCCCTCCTTTTGTTGTGTCAAGCAGTCCCCACCTTGAGCAGAGGTGCGTGTGAGCACCCAGCTTCTGCTTCCACACACCCTGCATGCCCAAATGTCACTGCCACTAGCATGGGCTCCAGCCTTGGAGTGGTGTGATGCTGTTTCAACCTTCCTCCATCAGCTGAACCCAGGCTTGTCATCTGTTCCTTACAGCATCCAGCCAGCCCTGCCCAAAGCTATCTCAGGGGCTATCTCAGCCACATGCCTGGAAGTGTTCAAGGCCAGGTTCAGGGGACTTGGAACTGGATGACCTTAACGGTTCCTTCCAACCCAAAACCATCCCGTGATTCTACGAATGGATCGGACAGAAAGATAAACCATTCCAAGTCCAATTTGTCTTCTTTTCTCTGCTCTGGATGGAGGCTCAAGACCCACCCTTGTTTTGCTCTGGGCAGCTGTGGGAGTGTTGTGTGGTGCCCTCTCCTGTTTCCCATTGTGCCGGAGGGGGACATGTGTGGTGGGAGAGCTCCCCCAACTTGTACGTCCTCCGTGCTGGTGGGCTGAGCAGCAGAACCACCAGAATGCCACCTCTGGGCATGGTCATGCAGTCGATTCTGCTCCAGCTCCATGCCACGCGGAGCAGACCACAGAAGGCATCTGGATGCTGCATGAACCTACCGGGCTTCCTTTTTCTCCTGGAGGTCCTGGGGGTCCACTGCGACCAGGCCGGCCAGGATCTCCCTGGAACAGGCAGAGAGCGATGGTCATCCCCTGCCTCATCAGCACTCTGCACTGTGAGCAGCCCAAGCAGCCCAGGCCCTTCCCTCAGCTCCTGTGCCTGCTGGTGGGATCCAGACCCCAAAGCCTATGGGCTCCGTGAGCGCCGTAGGATTTAGGAGTGAATCCAGGGAATGGTGTTTAGCTGGTCCCCACTGGTGGCCTCTGCCCACACCCTGCTGCCTGTCCAGAGCACTTGTACCTTCATGCCTGCGTCTCCTCTTTCACCTTGGTCTCCTGCATCTCCTGGGTAGCCATCAGGGCCCTGGGGAGGGAAATGACAAAGAACCACACGTTTCACAGTGGGAACACTTTCCCTGCAGAATAAATAAAATAAAAATGTCTAATAAAATAAAATTTTCTAAGCCAGTGCTCAGAAAGTTCCTCTGGAGGCTAAAGTAGGTTTTGCTTGTTGCAGTGTTGATGAAAGGGGCAGCTCCTCCTCTCTCTGTGGAGGGGAGGGACATTGGGGGCTCCCAGCTTGCTTACACATGGGAAAGGAGGCACAGAAAAATCAGGCTGTGCTCCCCACTCCAGGGATCCCAGGTCTGGAATCAGATCAGATGGTAGGAAAACAGGCCAGTAAACTCTCTTTGGCCATCTTTCTACACATGTAGCTCACTCAGCAGCTGCACAACTGATGTGCTGATGGGTTTGATGGGTTCCTACCTTGTCACCAGGGTCACCCTTGCATCCCGGTGGTCCAATTCTCCCCAGCTTGCCCTGGAGAGATGAGATTCAAAGGAAAAAGACTGAGAAGCTGTAGGTGTCTGAAGGAGAACACAGCTTTTCTTGTTAACAGTTAATAATTTTTAGCATCGTCTGCTGACCTTACCTGTCACCAGCTAGACAATAAATAGCAAGTGTATTCCTTAAACAGAAGTGGGGTGTGCAGAGACAAGTGGAGAAGGAGAAAGCACTGTAAAGCCCTGAGGGGTGGTGGGAATTCAGGCATGCTCATCCTGCACACGTGCCCTGGGTGATGGAAACGTCCCTTGGGGCTGGATTTGGTGGTCACTCATGCCCACGGCTGTCATCTCCTGTCAGAGCAGCTCGAGTGGGCAGCAGCTGCCTGAGGGATGGTGTGAGAGAGGCACTGCCTTGCTCTGTGCCCCAAAACAGCTTTGTCATCAGTGCTGAGGCAGCTTGTCACAGGTAGAGAATGGGGGAGAGTGAAGGGCTTTAGTGTTTTAGAGAGTGGAAGGGACTGAGGGTTGTCTCAGAGCTTCGGCAGGCATTGGAGGAGCAGGAAGGAAGAACTGCTATTACCTTGCAGATATACTGGACTGGGTGCCTGAGATGGTACAGAGCAAAGCCAGCACGTTATGGCCAGTGGGCAAAGCCAGGGACTTTGCTGCGAGGCCCCTGAACTTGGCTTTGGGGCTTTAGGACTAAGAACAAGCAGGAGTCAAAGAGACGAAATTTCAGATTCTGTGACGAACTGCCTTGAAGACCAAATTTCTGCAAAGCTTTCTGCGTCCGTGTCCTGTAGGGGTCACTAACACCCAAGATGAGGCATCCACACGCAACTTATCACCTTCTCAGCCCGAGCACAGAGCGGGTTACCCATCCAGGTTGTGCAGAGAGCTTGCTGACAGGGGGACAGCACTGTGCAGGATGTGCAGGATGTAGCTGTGTCTGAGGGGATTGGGTTGGATCTCAGGGAAAGGTTCTTCCCCCAGAGGGTGGTTGGCACTGAACAGGCTCCCCAGGGAAGTGGGCACAGCCCCAAGGCTGCCAGAGCTCAGGGATTGTTTGGATAACACTCTCAGGCACGTGGTGGGATTGTTGGGGTGTCTGTGCAGGGCCAGGAGTCGGACTAGATCCTTGTGGGTCCCTTCCAGCTCAGGATATTCTGTGATTCACTTCTGCGACCTGAATTACTCTGTGTATTTCTACAGGACATGCAGAATAGTGTGCAGATAAGGTCTCAGAAACCTCGGTCAGAACAGAAAGCCAGAGTGTGGCACAGGAGAAACTAAACAGCCCGTGGGGGTTGAGAGAGGGTAAAGACATGAAACAGCAGCAGCGACATTAGGGGTTTGCTCCCGGTGCTCCCGGTTACCTTCTGTCCGTCAGTGCCGTTCCTGCCTGCCAAACCAGGGGCGCCCTGGGATCAGGGGGAGGAAAAAAAAAAAAAAAAAAAAAGGGATCTATTAACACACACTCCAAGGGTTGGTAGCTGGAACAACATGCAAGTTAGAAAATGTCCTCTCTTACCCTCCGTCCGTCGGATCCGATTTCTCCCTGGGAGAGAAGGAAAGAGGACAGGAAGTCAGGCACTGCCCACACCCCCCACCCATCTGCATCCTAAAACCATCACCACTTCACCACACCGTGAGCAATGCCTGAAGGAGGAGACAGGCTTTGGGATGTCCTTGGAAATCCCTCCCCATATCTCCAATCACGGTGTTTATAGGGTTGTTATCCTTCCCCATTACAGCTGATCTCTCCCTCTTTGCATCAGAAAGGAGCACAGCTTCTGCCAAGTGCCCAGCCAGCCATTCTGTCTCTTCTTTCTCACCTTCTCTCCTTTCAGCCCCGGGACACCCTAGACAAAAACAAAACAAAAAAGACAAACAAAAAAAGAAGAAGAAGAAAATTGCTGTGTTAGCGCCTGGGAAAACGTCAGGAATGGAGGCAGCGGAGCGCAGGGTTCTGGGTAGGGAAATGAGGAGGTAAGAGGGAGAATCAAAGCTCCCCCTTCTTCACCATGCTAAGAGCTCAGCCGTTGGCTGTGGGATTCTCACCTTGGGACCAGGATATCCGATGGGACCTTCAATACCCGGGTCGCCCTTCAGGGAGGAAGACACGGAGAGTTAGTCTGAGGTCATCAGAGGCACGGCCCCAGCAAATGGAGGGGAGGATTTTCCACAACTCACCTGTCGGCCCTTCAGCCCAGGGGAGCCTGGCTCACCCATGTTCCCCTTTGCACCCTAAGGAAAGAAAAACTGAATGTAAATCCAGGCTTGGTAATGGCCGAGAAAATGGCAGTTTCTGGGAGCTGGGGCAGGACAGTGGGGCACTGTGGATGTGAGAGCTCTGCTCTTGAGAGTGGAAAACTCAGGGACAGCTTCTGTCCTTGTGTGCTGGAGGTGCACAGCAGATGCTCGGATGTCTCTCTGTACTGCTGGCAGCCTGGGCACAGACCTGGGCACACCAGTGTTGGTTGTGTGCTGCTGTGTCTCCCAGGGCCAAGACAGATGCTGGTGAGTTATTTACCACCTGGGTGCGACCTGAGAAGGCAGCTGAGGTGGGGTCTAGGGCATCCTGCAGTGGTTGTGGCAGGCACAGGCATTACTGTCTTTCCCACAGCTCAGAGCAACTTACCTTCTGCCCTCGGTATCCCTTGGGACCAGGCGGACCTGTAATCTCCAGGCAGCTCATCTTGTAGCACTGAAATACAAGGAATTAAACAGGAGGTGTTTAATTGAAAAGCGTGCCACCACTTCATGTGCATCCAAAGCCCAGCTCAGCTCTGCACCCGTAGCTCTCCACACGCCTCTTCTCACGAGCTCAGGGCTAAAGTCTACTGTGGCTACAGCTGTGTTGGGGCTGAGGCAGCAACAAGCACCCCGAGAAGTGCTGCCTGTCAGTTTAAGAGCGGAAAGTTTCCATGAGAAGGTTCATTACAGCTCAGCTCTGGGCCCAGACAGGCAGAACAGGACTGCCAAGCATCAGAGGTGGTGGGGGCTTGCTCATCTGGGGTCCTCAGGGCACAGGCATGCCCTTTGGACCATCACCTGCTTACTCCTCCCTCTGTATGCCAATTCCTGTCCCTGTGGTACCAGCAGGGCAGGAGCTTCAGCTTGTGCAGCACCTACAGAACAGGAACATGGCTCTAAAGGGATGAAATGAGTCTGTACCGCAGACCTGAACTCATTACAGGTAAGGGGGAGGGAGTCCAGTGGGACATTATAACCACTGGATAAGGGGTTGTGCCCCCAGGCTCTGCACTGATCCACAGGTGGGCAGAGACCCATCCCTCAGAGGTCTATGCTTTTTTGGGGTACAAGCTGGTCTTCTCTAATTGAGGCAACTTAAACCTGTGTCGTGTGGCACCGGCACGAAGATGCTGCTCACTCACCTCGCCGTAGGCTTCGTGTTTCTGCAAAGGAGAGAAGAGAATGAAGAGAATCAGTTAAGGGGATCAGCCCCCAAGGGAAAGGCAGCATCCCACCCCTCCTCCTCCTTGGGTGTGTGTGATGGTGAGGGAGATGAGGTGGTTAAGGCCCCGTGGCTGCAAAGATGTTCTCAGCAGAGCCCCCCATTAACAGTGCCCCATATGTGGGGTCTCAAAGACCACGCTGATGGTGAGCATGTGTCTCAGTGTGGCACACTCTTCCACGTGCCCCTGGATGTGGAGCAGGATGGGATATGGGTCTGGTCTTCAGCAAGAGCCAGGACTAGGGTGGCAGCCTGCCCAGACACGCCAGGAAGCGAGAGGCACAAAACCAAGGAGTCCTGGTTAAGCACCAGAAAAAAGACTCCATTTTCCCTGCTAGGGGCGCTCTCCAGAGCCCTGCCAAAAACCCAGTACAGCGTTCCCCCCGTCCATACACTGTTCCTCTTGTGTTCCTCCCCCCCCCCCAACCCCCATGCTGTACCATGGCTTGGATGATCCTGTCGATGGTGTTGACGTCGATGTCCAGGGTGTCCCTCTGCGTGATGGCGTAGTTGTTGCGGTACAGCTCGTGCGGCAGGTTGGCGATCTCCCGCAGGCCCTGCTCGTACACCTTCTCGCTGGGGGCCACCGCGAAGAGCTTGATCCCCATGTCCCGCGCCCTCTCGGCCTGCATCTTCATCCCCCCGCAGGGGCTGCCGGTGACGTGGCCGTCGGTGATGACCACGGCAAAGTTCACCCCGGTGGCCATCTGGGTCTGGATTTGCTGCGTCATGTTGGAGATGGCGCAGTCCGTGAAGGTGCCCCGGCCGAGGTAGTTGATGGCGTACAGCCTGGGCAGGTAAATGTCCTTGCTGCTCGTGAGGGGGCTGTAAATTTCTACCACGTCTGAGTAGTGGAGCCCACCGAACTGCCAGGTGATGTAGACTTGGTTCTGGTAGAGCTCGCTCTCCAGTTTGTCGATGAACACGGGGATGAAGCGCTTTATCTGGTCCACCAGGCTCTGGATGGGCACGGTCTGCAGAGCAACGCTCTCCGAGGTGTCAATGATGAAGTAGACATTGATGGGGCAGTTCCTCTTTTCTGCATGGAGATAATTATTCAGACCGTGTCAGAGCACTTCGTGCACCCCCCCTGCGCTGTCCCCCAGAAACTTGGACCAAGTGCAGTGCTGGAAAAAGCAGAAGTCCCACCTAGCTCTAGAACTGACATCTGTGTTTGGGTTAGATGGCTCCCCAGTGCCCAGGACTTCTGAATTCCAAGATCTGCTACAGAACTACAGGATCATTAGGGCTGGAAAAGACCTCTAAGATCATTGACTCCAGCTGTTAACAGCACTGCTCAGTACTGAATCAGTCCCGAAAATCTTGCTGTTTTTTTGTAGCAGTCAGGCTGGACAACTTAAATCACCTCTGCATTGCAACTAAAGCAAACAATTTTATGGCATCAGATAGAGAGGTGAGTGCTGGAGACTGAACTGGTGTTTGTCACTGTATCTGCAAGGAGAGGCCACCACTGGCAGACCCCAGCTCTTCCATCTCCACTGGCAGACCCCAGCTCTTCCATCTCTACCTCTCTGCACTTCAATGCAAACCCAGAATTGTGATTTTGGGTGCAGGACAGTGATCTCTACAGATGGATTGTTACCACAAAGGAGTGCAAAGGGGCAGGAGAGGTGAAACGTCCCACTGTCAGTTCCTTGCAAGCAGGTTCTACAACTGATCATGGCCATTGCTTTTGGCAAAATTGCTGCCCACAAAGGTGACCCAAATCGTTTGGGTTAATACCTGCACATGAAGTAGGAGAATCCACATCAAACTGAGCGTGGAGAGGAACTAAAGACACACAAAGGAGAGTGGAAAACAAGGCTTGTCCGAACATCTCAGCAGTCCCTCAGGGTATTCAGATTCCTGTGGGAAAACACAAGTTACATGTTAAACATGATGCACAGCGTCCTAACTCTGCTGGGATGACAGAAGCCTGTGCCTAAAGGGGCTCCAAGAGAACTGGAGAGGGACTTTGGACAATGGCCTGGAGTGACAGAACAAGGGGGAATGGCCTCACACTGCTACAGAACAGGGTTAGATGGGACATTGGGAAGAAATCCTTCCCTGTGAGGGTGGGCATAGGTTGTCCAGAGAAGCTGTGGCTGCCCCATCCCTGGAAATGTTCAAGGCCAGGCTGGATGGGGCCTGGAGCAACCTGGTCTATGGAAGGTGTCCCTGCCCATGGCAGGAGGTGGAATGAGCTGAGCTTTAAGGTCCCTTCCAACCCAAATCATTCTGTGATTCTGTGAAGTCCCTGCATAGGTCATAAGTTTAGTTGTGCTGCAGAGAATAGAAGGGGTATTGTAAGGATAAAATACTTTAATGCTGAAGGGGTGTTTTAGTTAAGATCAAGACTTCATCCCCCTAACCTTACTGCAGGTTTTCCTTGCCTTGTTTGCCCTCCATAAAACAGAGCTGCAGGAGATCCTAATCTTCCATAGGACACAAGAGCTTGGTGCCTTCAGACAGCACCATTTTAGAGCCAGCCTTTAGCTGAGGGAGATGGAGACATTAACTTTTGGAGAGGCTGGGAGTGCTGAGGGCTTTGGCCAAGTGTCTGACTCATCATCCCGACCGGAGTTTAATCACCTCCCTCTCTTCCCTCCCTCCCTCTGTGAGTGTGGGTGGGAAGGCGCAGAGCTGCTCTCCAGGCAGAGCCGTGGTGATGAGCAGTTAACCTGCACAGGCAACCAGGGCCAGCTCTGGCACAGGAGGGCCCCTGCCTGCAGCCCTCGGGGCTTGGGGCTGGGTCAGTGAAACACCATCACCTTGGACTCTACGTGGGCAGAACGGAGAGGCAGGAATATGACACCTCAAGACACGGGATGCAGCTCCCTCACTTCTGTGCTGCCCTCTTGCACAGTCTCCTCTATTCCACTCTGCACCCTGAGCTACGTTAATCTTCTGCCCTACCAGCATCCCTCCTGGTATGGACCTCGGTGGGCACACAGTGGGACAGCTGCTGGAAACCCCCCTGCCCACCTGATGGCTCTCCAAGGCTGGGGTGGGCAATGGTGCCTGCCTTGTCATCCTCATCTCTGCTGTGATGCTGTTGCAAATCTCACAACATCTGACTTACAAGCCTCACCTGCTGCTGCAAAATGCTGGGATGGAAATCTCGGATTTCAACACTTTTTCTTGATGTTGAGGGCAATTTTTGAAAACAAACAGCCCCCCAAAAAACTAATGGAAAGAGCAAAACTGGGAGCTGACTAATTGTGTCTAAATACTTGGATCTGCCCATCTTATTCTTCCTTGACCTTTCTCTCTCTGCCACAGCAGGATCATTGTGCCTACAAGGCCTTTTCTCAATATTTGTACTTTTGAGTGATTCATTTCTTTTCCCATGAGATGCACACGAGAGAAAAAAACAACAGGGAATCTCAACCAGTGAGATCTCTGGACAGATTTTGAAGGCACTACTTTGCACCATCTCTCCTGTACCAGGGTATATGCTCAGGTGCTCAGCAGAAAAATGCATGGCCTTTGCTGTTCCCACACTCAGATCCCAGGTGACCTGGCTGTGACACACATAACTGGAAAACACATGGATTTATCCAGGCAGAGCCTGCAAGAAACAGCGGCCTTGCAGGAGGACCCGAGTTCTCTGCTTGCTTCTCTTCCCACCTGGAGCAACTGAACCAAATGTAATATTATGGCAGACAAATTGCTTGCAATGACTGAAATCTGCCAATTATATCTGTTTTTTTTTTTTTTTACAGTCTCACACCTGGTTATCAGATAAAGCAGATTCTAATGCAACAGAAAGGTCCCCTCACGCACCCTGGCAAGGCAGAGCCCTGGTCTGTCTTATCCCACACAGTGATATTCCTGAAGTTCTTCCTGGTGCTCTGTGTACTTCTCCTCCAACACCAGAACATCTGAGCAAATTGATCCCAAATTCACAAGAATTTAGATGCTCTGCTCTCTAAGCTAACTCTGCCTGCAAGGAGCTTATTTAAAGTCGCATAAATTAAAAGCCACACAAACAGCATTACTCTCATGAAAGAATTATGTTGGCTGTGGCTAAAATATGCAGAATAAAAAGTTTGAAACCTCCCTGCTGTTCAAACCCAATGTTTTTCCATGGCCATGCCCAGCAGGCAGTGCCTGTGGTGCCATCCACTTGTGTATGCAGCATTTTCTCCACTCAGATGTTTGCTAAATAAAATTAGAAAAGAAAAAATATGTCCCATTTGGAACAAAACTCTTTATGAATGCGCTTCCTCTTCCTTCTTGTCTGTGTGCCCATGGTTTGCACACTGCACAAGGAGGGAATTTCAGTGTTAGTTGCTCTCACTACCCCAGCGTGCCCTGTAATTTTAGTCCCTGGGCAGAGCACTCATGGGGGGAAAGGTTCCCCAACAGCTACAGTGACCCCAGAGCTTCTCCAGGTCTCTTAATGTAACTGTCCTGGGATTTGGGGCAGGGCAAGCCTGGGCTGCAGGAAGGCTGGCGGGGAGGACACCCCTGCCACCAAGTGCAATGAGCTTGCAAACATTCCTGAACCTGCTGTTACCTCCCAAAACAGAGGAGCGTGTGCTGATGTAATTCAGCACAGCTAGGAGGCATGGACCACAGGCTAGTCTAATTCACATCTTCTGAAATCCCCCCAAATCGAAGGGGAATCACTCAGCAGATCAGTTGCTCTGCCCTGCTGCCATCACTTCAGTGTCGCTGCTGAACTGAGCTCGGCTACCCCAGAGAAGACTTTGGTTCAACAAACCCAGCCCTTCCCCTTGAGGGATTTTCTACACCTCTGGCCCTGGCAGATGACTGCTTGTGGCCCACACTGCCTGCACCTGGGAAAAAACCCCAAACCTCTTGGAAAAATGCCCGAAGTAGCCAAGAGCTGAAAGTAAAGGGAAAAGATATATTCTTTTTTATAGCAGGTACTGTCTAACCATGATGTGCCCGAAGTGGGCACCTTGCTGGAGAGCCTGTGGACAGCAGCAGGCACAGGCTGGAATTTCAGAAGGATTTACGTTATTCCCAGCTGGACATCCGTCAGTGAGTAGATGCACGACCGCTGTACGAGGAGAGAAAAACTCTGCTTACCTGGAAAATGGGATCATCAAAGCTTCTCCTCCAAAACCCCTCTAAAAGGTAAGGAAAAAAAAAAAAAAGACTTTGTGGAGTGGCTAGTGCCAGAAAGGCTCCCGCATCCCCGGCTGGAGGGTCGGCTCCGGGCTCTGGGTGCTGGGATGTGCGGGGTGAAGGAGCGGGAGGAGCAGCGGAGGCGTCTCCAGCCCAGTCCCGCTATTCCCTGGCCGTCTGGAACTGCCCTCCGAGTTCCTCCTCCTCCTCCAAAATCAGGCAGAGTCTCCTTTTGCAGTAGCTCCGGACGTCCACGGAGAGTCACTGTGGGTCTACTGAGACCTGCGTGGATCCTCCTCCCATCCTCTCACACCCCTCCCCGCCCGCAGCTCGGGCTGGGCTGGGGCGAGGTTGTCCCCTCTGGAGCTGAAGGCATCTTTGTTCTACATAAACTGGAAGTCTCATTTTTCCATGATGAGAGGCCCCTTTTGGTGGTTGGCGTTGCTGCCCCACATATTTATCCCATCAGATAGTGTTTCTCTCTCGTCGCTCCTGCCGTCCTGCTCCTCTTTCCATCCTGGTAACGTGTCCTGAGTGTAACAAATAAAAAAAACAAGAGCGTTTCAAAAAAGAGCAGCTTGCACGGAATCACGGAATCATTGCCTTTGCAAACATCCGAGCCTTGCTCAGCGTCATCCAAGTCTGACTATTACCTGTTTCTATTGATTCTCTTCTGGCTCTGGGTTCATAGAGTCATGGAATCATAGAATATCCATAGCTGGAAGGGGCCCACAAAGATCACTGAGTCCAGCTCCTGGCCCTGCACAGCACAGCACCAAAATCCCCACCATGTGCCTGGGACCGTCCAAATGCTCCTTGAATTTTTTTTTAAAATTATTTTTAATTTCACACACTGTTTTTTTAGCTCTGCTAAATGAAAAGTGGGGCAAATATCTCAACAAAAAATATGGAGAACAGCAATGGTTTTCAGGAACGTGACCTGTTATCCCTTGAGCCGACTTTTTCCTCCAAACTTCTGTGTAAATGGACAGTGTGAAGGTACCAGGACCAGGCCACAGCTGCCACAGACAAGGCAATTGCAATGGGGAAACCAAATGTAAGTCTTATTTCACTCTATGGACTGCCAAGTAGTGACAAAAGCAAAGGATGTGTCTCAGAATATCTCAGGGTAAGCTGCCAACCCAGCAGTCCTGATGGACAGGAACAAATTCCTCAGGCTCTTGGTGTTTCCAAAAGCATCTGAACTACCAGGTGAAGACAATGAACCCAATTCTGTGTGGTTGCCAGTGCTTACAAAGGTGCATTTCTGGAGTATCCTGTGTCAGCATCTTCACCAAGAGTTCTCTGGTGGAACTGGAAGTGCTGGGTTTATGGTTGGACTCGATGATCTGACAGGTCTTTCCCAGCCTCGATGATTCCATGATTTTGTGATGCTCCAGCAGCACCTATGGGAAGCACAGCAATAAACCAGAATTTTGTGGGCCTGTTTCCTGTTCATCTCAAAGCCCCGTGACAAAAGCAGAACCCCTCCTGCAGCAAGTGGTCAGTGAAGAATAGGTTGGAGGAAAATGGATGTGGGGCAGGAACTTTTTGAGACAGAACCAAAATTTTATCGAGCGTCTTCTTCCTTCTTAGTAAAGGGAATTGAGGTGAGCAAAGACAAATCTTTCTGTGTGCAGTGATCCTCTTTTATGCATTTAAATATATATATATAAAATATACCTATATATCTCATATCTATCTATCTATCTATCTCTGTATCTCATATTCCAATGTATCTCAGATATATGTATATATATAGAGAGGTCTGTCCAGGTGAGCAATCACTCCCCTTCACTCATGGGAGCCACATCCACTATCTCTGACATCTCTTCATCTCCTTTTTCTAATCCTCAAATAAATTCCCTTTCTTTTTCTCTCTCTCTCTCTTCAGTGGGACTGCAAATTTCACATAAAGATTTTTGCAGAGAATGTGCATGGATTTGGATTAGTTGCTCACCCCCTATGTTGGGGGGGGGGGTCTATCTGACCCACAAATTATTATTGCTGCTCACAGAACAGACCATACACTGAACAAATATTTAGCATTCCATTACATTTTAAATGGAGAGAGAGGAAATGGAAGATGAAGAGTAGAAAGAAAGGAAGATGCTAGGCTGTCTGCTCTCCTCTAGGACTGTATAGAGTTTGAAGTAAGGCACAGATGGCTACTAGTTCATTCATCTCCCCCTGTAAACTTAAATGTGATTTATGGTATGTTTGGTTGTTCTTTTGTAAACTGTGTATCTGCTCCTTTCTTTTTTTTTTTCCACATCTGACCTGTAGCCCCCAATAAAACGTGATCTCTTTTGTTTTAAACCACGTACCTGCATCTGAAACAGCTTTATGGGTTCTCTGCAAAACAGCTACTGTACTTTCTTTGTGTCTGTCTGCAATTGCTTCCACCCTTCACGAGATTCTGACGTTATGCAGTTGTCTCCAAAGGTCTTGTTTTCTAAATGGGAGCAGAGAGCCAAAAACGAGGCCAAAAGATTGTTAAATGCTTAGTGAAAACAATGAACGCTGGTTTTCAAGTGTTTGTAAGTATGTGGTTGGTATTCTCAGCATTTTCACTGATGACGAGCAGAAGGGATGGATTTTCCACCCTTTTATATTTGCCATTTTCTGAAATTCTTGTGTCCTAATCACAGAACCAAGTGGAGACGGTGCTGTCTCCGTCCTTCCCATTTTCAGCCACTTCCTCTTGGTGTTTGTACAGTGCATGCAAAGGTCACCTCTCTTACCTGGCTCATTCAGCACCTCCATCAGGGAAACTGCCTTCCAACCATTCCAGAAACCTCTGGGAGTGGCCATGGCCAGCCCACACTGCTCTCTCTTAGGCCTGGGGCGGGTAAAAGGATTTCTCCAAGTGCCCGAAGTGAACTTCATCCAGCTCCTCTCCTTCATCAGGTGATCTCCATCAGACTCCCACACACACCTTGTGCTGGGCCATCCTCTGAGCACCAACTTGGCTGACTCCGAGGCATCCAAGTCAGGTCTTGCTTGTCCTCACCAGTGCCCGGGAGAAGACATCTATTAAAAAAAACATATTAAAAAAAAAAAAAAAGAAAAGAAAAAGGAAATGAACTTATTTTTCTAGAATAACCCAGGTCATGCACATGAGCAACAGCCCCCACTGAGTCTGACGTTCTCAAATTGCAGTAAAATGAGGCACAAAGGGGAACCTTTCCGAAGAAAAAAGTAAATGTTTTGATACCATATTATAGCAGCATTTCCTGGGATTTAGGCCATTAAAGCCAACTGCTCCAGGATGTTTAGAGAGTCCTCATGAACACATAAGTGCAGTCTGAGGCTTTGCATACTTTTTTCCTATTTTAACATGCTGGTTTTAACTTTTAAGTCCCCCGTGCTCTTGCAGTTCCTATTTACTTAGCACCCAGTTTTTACACACAGCATTTGTGTGCTCCTAAACTGCTGTTTGCTAACACATAAGGAAGGACTGTTGGGAGTTTCTAGAGTTTTGTTATCAGCATCCCCAAGGTTTCCCCAACCTACAGCACTTTTGAAGCCTTCCCTGGTGCAGGCCTGTTAAGCATGTTGTTTTTTTCCCTGGAGCTCAAGATCCTTAGAGAGTGAAACATCCCAGGACTCTGTGATGTTTAGATACACTTGTGAGAAATCCTCCTTCTCCATAATTTCTAATAATCCTCCTGAAACAGTTGTTTAGATCCCACTAGTGTGGAGACCCTTGCTCCAAGATTTATTTCCCCTCTGCTTGAGATTTCCCTTCTCAGGGTGGGTTTGGGGACACTGGCTTGAGGATACTCCAGGGCTCCTGTGCCAAGCTGCACAATTTCTTTGGGTCTTGGAGGTAATTAAGGCCACATTTATGAACTTATTAGTATTTTACCTTCAGGTGCTCAGTCCAAGCTTACTGTCTAGAGCCAGCTTTTCTGTGGTGGCTCACTGATTCCTCCTGACAGGGTGAATTCCCAGGGCTTCCAGGAAGACCATTTCCAGGTCTCCTTGCTGCCATGCATTGGTTGGAAGAGCTGTGACAGGCATTTCAATACCAGGGAAACTCAGGGTGCCCAGGGTTTTCCCAGACGTGCCAGGTAGCACCAACACAAGATCATGTGTGAACACAACGAGCAAAAAATTTAGGTTTAGATTGGATATTAGGAGAAGGTTCTTCCCCCAGAGGGTGGTTGGCACTGAACAGGCTCCCCAGGGCAGTGGTCACGGCCCCAAGGCTGCCAGAGCTCAAGGAGTGTTTGGACAGCAAAACCAGGGACGTGATGGGATTGTTGGGGTGTCCTGGGCAGGGTCAGGAGTTGGACTGGATGGTCCTTGTGGGTCCCTCCCAGCTCAGGATATTGTGTGGTTCTACGAGGAATGGGTGAAAGAGAGCAGAGAGAGTGAGGAAAGTATGGGCTGGAATCCTTTCTCCTAGAATACTTCCCCTTTTACCAATTTCCCAATCCGTGCTTTTTGATGCTTTCACCTCTTGCAGCACATTTTTTTCCAGGCAGCCAGTCAAGACGGTTGGGTCCCAAAACTTGTTGACTCATTGAGAAGAGCCTTTGCATAGCGAAGCAGCTGCATTCCAGCTCCCTGGCAGGGCAGGACCTCAGAGTGGTGCCTGATGCCTCCGTGGTCTGGAGTATCTTTGTGGAGATTTCAAACCATCTTTTTTTTAGTTTCGCAGCCCTGGGTAGGGAAAAAGAGTTAAAACAGACAGTTTGTGTCTTTGGGGCTTTGCAGTGCAACAGAGCGAGAGCACAACGACCCAGCTGCATTTGTTTTATTTTCTTGTCACCAGAGAAACAAGAAGGAAAAACTTGCAGTGGTGTTTCCAGTAAATTAAGAGGGAAAAAAAAAAAAAACCCACATAGTTTATAGAGGAAACCTCATTCCCCTCCCTAGCTTTATACTAGTGATGGTTAAAAAAAAAAAAAAAAAAAAAAAAAAAAAAGGTACATTTTTGAACTTAGTCACATCCCACCCCACCCACAGTCCTTAACACCATGTACAGACCTAAGAAAGAAATTTCATTTTCCTCCCTATCTAAACATTTGCTGGAGCCTGGAGGTACTGCACATCCTTGCCACCCCCCCCAGTTCCCTCCCCGCCCCCGAAATGACTACTCTGGCTAAGGTTACAAATAAAATAGAGAGTTTCTCTGTTAGATTTCAGCTAACTGCATGAATAATAATTCCCTTAAGACACCCACATTATGTTTAACCATAAATCTAGCAGGGGACACTTTTGCAAT